ATAGGATTAAATAGGATTAAATAGGCTCCTATTTAATTTTAGGCTGAAATTTTAGTTTAAATCTTATTTACCTTATTATGCAAAAGAAAATTTTCAGCTGGACAATGTGTATTTTATGAGAGATGTATGTACGTTTGATTATTGGTCGATTCAAAAGAATCGAAGGGGGGTATGTGGTGAATTTTCATGTATGGCCCTTTAAGAGAATGTGAACGAGCGTGTCGGACCAGAGCGCGCATGAAGGCGGGCATGCGCTTACTTTGGGGAGAGTCTGAGTAACATCCTAGCTGTGTGGAGGGTCTTTAGGGTCTCTCGCTAAATAAACATGTCCAGAACTGAAGAAATCGCCTCTTCGTCATTCAATGTTAGATTAGAGTTCTATTGACATCTGACGAGTCTACAGGAGGGAGCTCACTGATTTTCCAGCGAAACCAGCAGACAGCATCAGCCGAAAGGAGAAGCCACCGACAGCAGAACCAGCCGACAGCCGCACCACCAGCAGCAGCCCCAGAGAAGCACCAGCCCAAAGCAGACACAAGGAAGAGAGACGGGTCTAAGCAGCTGACAAAGCCCAGCCGAACCGAGCAGAAACGGAACCAGAAACCAGACAGAGACTCGACACTATGACTATTTTGACACGCTAGCTTCTCAGTAGCTCCTGTGAAAAATAAGCAACAGGTAGCAGCAGGTTGGAGACAAACGTCATCGTCCTAAAATAATCGCCCAAGTTTTTAGTTAAAAATCTGAGTTACGCAATTATTTTAGGAAGGTGTCCCCACACTGGACACTTTAACTAGTGACCAAATAGCTGTTGGTTAGTTAACTCACAGGAACATCACAAGCTTCAGGATGCGTTGGCAAATAAACTAGAAAAATAACTAATACTAGAACTAATAAAAACTAAACTAAAACTAAGCATTAAAAATGCAATAATAACTAATAAAAACTAGCAAATCAACTGTAAAAGCTAATTCAAACTAAATCAATTAAAAGAAAAAAGTCAAAACGAAATAAAACTAAACTATAATGAAAAATCCAAAACTATTATAACCTTGGTTACACGTTGAGCAGCAGCAGATTTTTATCAGCTGCAGACAGTGAAGGTCTCTGACTGATCTATGACCTTGTACAAGCAGCTGCACAATTCTAAACATGTTGTAAAAAAACAAATGCATGAATTATGCTAACACATTTAGAAGCATTGCTTTACTGAACCTGAATCTGAATTATTGTAATTCTATGTAGCAGATTTTATTTCATTTTTGCTGTGATTGAAACAATAAAACTGAGGAATCTGATGTGAACAAATGATATTTTCTGCAACCACTGTGGCCTGAGAACCCACTGGAACCCACTGGAACCCACTGGAACCCACTGGAACCCACTGGAACCCCATCTGGTTCAATGGACAGTCGGCGCTTCGGTGACGCAACAGAATGCCAACGATTGCCCCAATTTAAAGCTATTAGAGGGTTGAAAAATAGGAGCACACAATCAAGAGTGTTTCTTACACACATCCTGACCTGGAGCTCTGAGGGGTAGGCCGTTGTCAAGGCGACTGGGTTTGGTGGCGATGAAGAGGTAGCAGAGGACACATACGGTGATGAGGAAGGCGAGGAGGACCACCGCCGCAATCGACAGACCCACCAGAGCGCCGATGCTGAGAGGAGAGGAAACAGGAATGGGCAATTAGGAAACAAAACTGGGGACGTGGAGCAGAGACGTGTAAATCTGCTGAAAGCACAAAAATAAAGAAAATCAGCATTTCAACACAATCTTTCTAATTTCTGTCCCTGAAAAGACGTAATGATGAGAAATAAAGAGACAGACTCTGCAAAAATCAGGCTCTTTTGATGGAAATGAGTGAAGGTGTGTCGGGGTGGTGTTTAGGAGAGGGGGGGTCTAATTAGTTTATGAGGATTTCAAGTCATTTTATTATTTAAATAAATATCTCACAAGTTCCTATTTACTTATAAAGTYTCAAACATACTAAAAACGACTGATAAGATGTAAATTGTTACAAGGAGCTAAATTATTAACTCATCAACTCAAGTAACTGCTAAAAATCAACAAACAGAAGACTAAATGTTCTAATTACGACATGTTAGTTTTACAAAACCAAACTTACCTCAGCCACCACATGTAGCCGTACTCATAGGGGAAAAAGCTGTTGGGGTCATCGCAGCAGTACTTCACATCATTAAAGCCGCAGCAGTAGACGGCGAACAGAGCGTTGCCCGGCTTGGGGCAGGAGAACGCCTCCACAAACACCCCGTCAGGATTGTAGAAGCTGCTGCATTCAGTGCTCATCCTGCAGCCAGCAGAGGAACGGAGCAGAGAGGAGCGAGGAGTTCTGATCACTGAGCTGCAGATCCAGAGTGGTTCCTCCTCAGCTGAGAGACTCTGAGTGCAAAACAGACACAGACAGAGGGAGGGGATGGGGGGGTGGAGGGGGGGACTTTGAATCTGAAGAAAAGTCTCTCTCTCTCTCTCTCTCTCTCT